AATTTATTTTCTTGGTTCTGCTGCATGAGCAACAAAATGGCAGCTTTTTTAGAATTGATACCATAATTTTCATATTTTTTCCCCTTTTGGTTCAGCATTTTGGGGACTCAAATAATATGGCATCTTATTAAATTTGGGGCCTTGCCCTTCAGAAATTCCTGGCTAAGCCCACTATGCTGAACTCATGGTATGACTTTTTTCATTTGTATCTTTTTACTTGATATACTTTTTTTTGTTTTTGATAAGAGATTTTTTGTTGTTATTTTTTAATATAAAACTGAGGTCTTTTTTTGCTGGTGAAAAAACTAATTAAATTACAATCCTATGATAGAACCTTGTATATCAGTCTAGCCGAACATCATTGAACTCAAGATTAGGTCACCTAGAAATGATTCAACTTCTAGTCTTCCCAGGTTGATAATCTACTTGTGTGAAAGTCTGAATGGTGTCTTACACAAGTCTATTGAGCACACCGCCCCTAAAGTTATCACTGTTGTACACACCCATGAATAGTGAGATATGATTATCTCTGCTCTTACTCACACTAACCTGCACAGCGTACTGGCATCCATACCATCAGCGTACTCCCATGAAATCTGCAGAGAGCCATCACCTGGTATCCTTACCTACAACCTTCACTGCCAGAGCAATCATCTGATCATAGCCTCAAGGTTAGACTCTGCCAAGAGCAGCAATGTTGTACCGCCTTTTGTGGTTTCCTGGCCTGGTGGGGCAGCTTYTGTTTGGTGCTGGTAGGACCTCGTGGGAGGTATCAAGTGTATTTCATTTTTCTGGTACAAATAATAAATGATGATAATATTAGATATAGGAGAGTGTTTCTAACTAGTGAAGGGTTCCCAGTAGATTTTGAAAGAAAAATATTTATTAAAACTAGCAGCCAATCTTAATTTGTTTCAAATTGTAAAAATTGAAACTGCATGAGCAAAACAGAAAATAATTTTAAAATTTGTTTGGTTTTTACTGAGAACCCTTGACTAGTTGTAAAATGTTTTGATTAAGATAACAGTGCTTGACACTCACTTTTGCAGATACAAGGCAATGGGCTAGTAAGTCTATAAATCTAGTAGTTCAGCAGAGTAATCTATGAGCCCAGAAAATACTTCCTGGACAATGGAATACTTTCTCTTTATAACCTTCCAAAAACCCACTAGCCTATGGTCAGGACTAGAGTGTCCTTATTTTCACTAGCCCACAGCAAAGAGTTACTAGTCGAGACTAGTGGACTAGTGTTGGCGTCAAGCACTGGATAATTAATTGATTTGGAGTAAGTATCTTAATATGTTTTGGTGAAACACTCTCCTATATCTAATATCTGAGGCTAGAGGACTGGTTGTCAAATTTTTTTTTTCCATATTCAATAATCAATTAATTTTGCAAGGTCTTTTATGACTACATTTTCAGGT